GATTTTGATCGACAGGTAAAATGTGACGTTTTCGTTGTTTCCATGGCAACATGAACGATTGAATACAACCTTAAAATTTCACTTTTGCTCAGTTTACATAAAATTCGCTCATTAGATTTTCCTATAAACTTGTGCACAGCTTACTATAATTAACCATTAACATTTGAATTTTATTTGACCCAAATTTTAACAGACTGGTTTTCAGATAATCAATAATATAATTGTATTGAAATGATTGAATGTATCACAAAATTCTTCTGTTCAGCTTCCATTTTAAAGTTCTCATTATTTAAAATACGATAAAAGTCAAAATTCTGCCAAATATCACAAAATTTTAATGGGTAGATTTTGAGAAATCGTCTTCTGTGTACCATTGGTTTTTTCGCCGCCATGTTTGTCTGTCTACTTTAAAACTCGCGCCGTCACGCGAGTTACCGCTGACTGCCCGCAAAACTGTGTTCAGACGAAACACAGTTTCGCCTCTACCGAAATGTCTGACATGTCTGTACTGACATGTCTGCAAATACTGTACTGTACTGTACTGACATGTCTGCAAATTTTTAGAAGAAGCGGATCGTCAGCACGCGGATGATAGCTTTTGGTTGTTTTACGGCTTACAGACTTTGAACGGTCGTAATTCGACTTCATATATATATTACGGATTGGTTTTTAAGGGGATCTTAGTTTTCGTAATAACGAGAACCAGGAGCCGATTACTCGGCTCCTGCGAAAACTAAGAGGGGTCTTTGTTTTCGAAATTGCGAAAACTAAGTCCCCTATATTTACCGTTAAATTCGACCTAAAACTCGGTGGAAAGAATCGGACAGAAGATAATTTAACAGATTAGACCTATTTCGATTACAATTTGACTTCATATTTGGACGTATTTGATTTAAGGAGGTCTTAGTTTTCGTAATCTGAAAACTAAGACGGGTCCAAGGTCTTAGTTGTCACACTCTGGTAACTGACCAGATTGTCACGTCTATGACCACGTGTATATGCAGAGCTGAGAAGTAAGTTTCTTGTTTTTCGGTTCTAAAAAAGAAGAATTCGTGACAGAAGTAATGCGCTTTTGCTGCCCCAGCTATATTTATCGAAAACGCCGCTTGTATCTGTGTCGGTTTTTTTTTCTTTTTTCATTCGCGGTGAAAATAACGGAATGCGATTGATGGGGTGGCAAAAGGGGGGTATCTATCACACATAACAACGCTGACTTTTTTAAAACCATCACGCATCACGTAAATGGGTGAAAATATTGCAGAAAGTTTTCATGGCAATATCTCAACCCATTGAATAATCAACCCCGGCTATATAAAAATACGCACAACTGATCGATCATGTAACAACTAATCGATTTTAGTCAACTGAACGAAAATACGCACAACCGATCTATCATATAACAACTGATCGATTTTAGTCACAGCTGAATGAAAATACGCACTACTGATCGATCATATAACAACTGATCGATTTTAGTCACAACTGAATGAAAATACGCACAACTGATCGATTTTAGTCACAACTCAATGAAAATACGCACAACTGATCCGTCATATAGCAACTGATCGATTTTAGTGACAACTGAATGAAAATACGCACAACTGATCGATCATATAACAACTGATCGATTTAAGTCATAACTGAATGAAAATATACTCAACTGATCGATCATATAACAACTGATCGATTAGGGTGGGTAGAAAACGAAGACCTAAGACCTAAGACCCAAAAACGAAGACCCCCCTCAAACTCACTTATAAATATTTGGAAACGGGTATCTCGACCTTAGATGTGTAAGAATCAACAATATCTTCAATTATACAAAATTTCAACCAGGGTCTTCGTTTTCTACACAATCGCCCCGTTGTGTAAAAAACGAAGACCCCCCTCAAAATCACTTGGAAACGGCTGGAAACTGCTTTTAACGACTTCTAGGCACTAAAGGAGTGTAAGAAACAACTTGGCTCCTGACGATTTCCAGTTATACAAAATTGCGACCAGGGTCTTTTGAGGGGGGTCTTCGTTTTCTACACACCGGGAGGATTGTGTAGAAAACGAACACCCTGGTCGAAATTTTGTATAACTGGAAATCGTCAGGAGCCGTGTTTTTTCTTACACTCCTTTAGTGTCTAGAAGTCGTTAAAAGCAGTTTCCAAGTGATTTTGAGGGGGGTCTTCGTTTTCTACACACCGGGGGGATTGTGTAGAAAACGAAGACCCTGGTCGAAAGTTTGGATAATTGAAGATATTGTTGTTTCTTACACATCTAAGGTCGAGATACCCGTTTCCAGATATTTATAAGTGATTTTGAGGGGGTCTTCGTTTTTGGGTCTTAGGTCTTAGGTCTTCGTTTTCTAGGTGAAAGGTGTTGACAGGCCAAACACCGTGACTCATAAGCTCGTGATAGTGTGATACGTGACCTTATAGTTTTGCTCTAACGAGGATATCTCCCAGCGATATCCTCTTTTATATGAAATGATGGGATGCTCGTTGTATATTTCTCTCAGTAGTGGTTGATCTTGAATTAAGTGCAATTTCCTCATTAAAATGTTTTTAAGGTTCGGCAAAGCAGGGTGGTATGTGGTAACGAAAGGCAGAATTTTCTTTCGCACCTCATTGTTCTTTTGTAAAGCTGACTTCCGTTCGGTAAATTTAACCTAAGAGGTGATTTTTTCTATGACATTGTGAGGGTAACCTCTAGCGCGAAGGCGTTTTTTGAAGTTGTAGATGTTCTCATAGAAGGATTTAGCTGAGGAGTTAGTTCTCAGAAGTCTAAGGGCTTCGCCCTTTATGAGACCTTTTCTGACCCCGTGAGGGTTACAGGAAGAGAAATGCGTGTATTGAAAAGTCTCTGTAGGTTTAAAATGTGTGCGGATGTCAAGGATTCCTTGGTTGTGAAATCTCTCGCCTTTGTAAACAGTTGTATCCAGAAAGTTAATCTCCTTATCAGATATTTCAGCAGTAAATTTAATTGAAGGGTGATGCCTGTTTGCAAGAGCAATGAATTCATCTATCTCCTTTCTATCAGTTCTCCACAATGAGAAAATATCGTCAATGTATCTTTTCCACTCAAGAGGTTTAGTTTTACTGAGGTCCAGTATTTCTGTCTCTACCGCCGACATAAAAATGTTGGCAAAGGCGACTGCCATCTTTGTACCCATTGCGGTTCCGTGTGTTTGGAGATAGTTTTTGCCGTTGAATTCAAAGGAGTTCTCTTGAAGAATAAGTTTAAGGATTCTTCTGAGGGATTGGGTGGGGATAGGGGTGTTTTCCCTGTAGAAAGTCTGGTATACTTTGCATACTGTGTTTATTCCCTCTTCCTGTGGGATATTTGTGTACAGGCTAGCAACGTCTAAGGAAACTAGGAAAACGTCGACCCCGGCTATATAAAAATACGCACAACTGATCCATCATGCAACAACTAATCGATTTTAGTCACAACTGAATGAAAATACGGACAACTGATCAATTATACAACAACTGATCGATTTTAGTCACAACTGAATGAAAATACGCACAACTGGTAGATTGTGCAAGCCGAGTTTACGCTGATCAATAGTATAGTACCCGACAACTGATCGATTATCAGCAAAACTGATCGTAATTTGAGACAGCTTTCCATGGTTGATTACGGATATGTGATCGATTTTAGACGACAGATTACTGATTGATGATATGCTGGCTGATCGATTTTACGTATCTGGTAGAAAATAGCACAATATAATAATATTTTAATTGATCGACAACTGGTCGGTAAATCCGATCCACAAAACTGATTGATTGGAGTTCATAGTAAACCATTAAGAGAGTGTTCTTAATAATGACGAAGAAAAAGCATTTAAAGCAATAATGGAAAGATCAAGGAGTCCTTCTTTCTGATTTTAAGCGCTTATATACATGATTCAGAACAGAAAAATATTAAAAATCTATAACCAATTTAAAAAATTAATTTTGAAACAAACGGCGCGCCATAATATGAATCTTTGTGGCTTTCCGGGTTTTGGGAATACATGAGTTCTCCTCCACTGATAGAATAAGTGGGTAAAAGAGTAGCGGGCGTGTGCGGGAGAATGTTGTAAGTATAAAATGATAGTAAAATAGGTGAGGATTATAGGTACTCTCGCTATGTTTGTCATCAATTTTGTACAAACTAAGAGCACAATCTTCTCTTTAACTGATGAAACAGCTTAGCGTATTCTCCTCTCAACAACGACGTTACTGAGGGAGTAAAACGACTCGAAGTTACGTCTGAAATTCAGGCTAGAAAAAACTGGCCCTTTTTTACTTTGAAAGCAAATAGGCTAAATTAGACATTAAACATCTATTGGTTCTTGAAGATGAAGTCGCCTTTTACTTGGGGTTCCCTCTTGCCACTGTCGACGGTTGTGGAGCTTCCGGTTCGTCCTCTATTTCCTTTGTTGTATACGAAGAAGATTGCCTCAGTGTTTTCTTTGATTTGAGATGAGCCTCTGTGAGCTTTCTTGTACTTGGAACAGAACTGACACCAGGTTCATTTTCTGTTTCGTTAGTTTTTTGCCGAAAGCTCATTTCAAACTTAAGAAGTTGCTTTGTCCTCTCCTCTTCACTCTTCAAGATTTCCAGTCTTCTGGCATCCTCTTCATCAGCTGTAACCACACTAATATCAGCTCCAAGGTCAACAAGCTTCTTCACAGCTTGTGAGTTACCATGTCTCACGGCCAAGTGAAGAGGAGTCAAACTTTCTGCATCATGGAGGTTTATGTTTTCTACCCCATACTTCACCAGGAGATCGATTATCTTACTACAATCACTGTTTTCACGAGCTGACAGGTGCAGGGGTGTACATCCATCATAACCTTGAATATTTGCATCCCCGTTTTGTTCAAGTAACAATCTACAGAGGTTTTCGTTACCCTCTCTAGCACTCCAGTGCAAGGGTGTATATCCATCATCATCTTGAATATTTACATCCGCGTTGTGTTTAAGTAACAGTCTACAGAGGTTTTCGTTACCCTCTCTAGCACTCCAGTGCAAGGGTGTATATCCATCATTACCTTGAATATTTACATCTGCGTTGTGTTCGAGTAACAGTCTACTGAGGTTTACGTTACCCTCAAAGGCACACAAGTGCAAGGGTGTATATCCTTCACCTTTATCTTGAGTATTTACATCCGCGTTGTGTTCAATTAACAATATACAGAGGTTTTCGTTACCCTCTCTAGCACTCCAGTGCAAGGGTGTATATCCATCATTACCTTGAATATTTACATCTGCGTTGTGTTCAAGTAACAGTCTACTGAGGTTTTCGTTACCCACTCTGGCACACCAGTGCAAGGGTGTATATCCATCTTTATCTTGGGTATTTACATCCGCGTTGTGTTCAAGTAACAATCTACAGAGGTTTTCGTTCCCCTTTATAACACTCCAGTGCAAGGGGGTAACTCCGTCATTGTCTTGAATATTTACTTCTGCGTTGTGTTCAACTAACAATCTACAGAGGTTTTCGTTCCTCTTTCTAGCACTCCAGTGCAAGGGTGTAACTCCGTTATTGTCTTGAATATTTACTTCCGCGTTGTGTTCAACTAACAATCTACAGAGGTTTTCGTTTCTCTTTCTAGCACTCCAGTGCAAGGGTGTAACTCCGTCATTATCTTGAATATTTACATCCGCGTTGTGCTCAAGTAACAGTCTACTGAGGTTTTCGTTACCCTCTAAGGCAAACCAGTGCAAGGGTGTATATCCATCTTTACTTTGAATATTGACATTCGCGTTGTGTTCAAGTAACAATCCACAGAGGTTTTCGTTACCCTCTCTAGCACTCCAGTGCAAGGGAGTATATCCATCTTTATCTTGAATATTTACATCCGCGTTGTGTTCAAGTAACAGTCTACAGAGGTTTTCGTCATCCTCTGCCGCAAACCAGTGCAAGGGTGTATATCCTTCATTTTCTTGAATATTTACATCCGCGTTGTGTTCAAGTAACAATCTACAGAGGTTTTCGTTACCCTCTCTAGCACTCCAGTGCAAGGGTGTATATCTATCATTATCTTGAATATTTACATCCGCGTTGTGTTCAAGTAACAATCTACAGAGGTTTTCGTTACCATCTCTAGAACTCAAGTGCAAGGGTGTATATCTATCATTATCTTGAATATTTACATCGGCGTTGTGTTCAAGTAACAGTCTACTGAGATTTTCGTCCCCCTTCAAGGCACACCAGTGCAAGAGTGTATATCCATTATTATCTTGAATGTTTACATCCGCGTTGTGTTCAAGTAACAGTCTACTGAGGTTTTCCTTCCCCTCTAAGGCAAACCAGTGCAAGGGTGTATATCCATCATTATCTTGAATATTTTTATCCGCGTTGTGTTCAAGTAACAATTTACAGATGTTTTCGTGACCTTTTAAGGCACACCGGTGCAAGGGTGTGTATCCACCTTTATCTTTAATATTTACTTCTGCGTTGTGTTTAAGTAACAATCTACAGAGGTTTTCGTTACCCTGTCTAGCACTACAGTGCAAGGGTGTAACTCCATTAGTATCTTGAATATTTACATCCGCGTTGTGTTCAAGGAACAATCTACAGAGGTTTTCGTTACCCTCTCTGGCACACCAGAGCAAGATTGTAGATCCATCATTATGTTGAATATTTACTTCTGCGTTCTGTTCAAGTAACAGTCTACTGAGGTTTTCGTTCCCCTCAAAGGCAAACCAGTGCAAGGGTGTATATCCTTCATTATCTTGAATATTGACATTCGCGTTGTGTTCAAGTAACAATCTACAGATGTTTTCGTTTCCTTTTAAGGCACACCGGTGCAAGGGTGTGTATCCATCTTTATCTTGAATATTTACATCCGCGTTGTGGTCAAGTAACAATCTACAGAGGTTTTCGTTACCCTGTCTAGCACTACAGTGCAAGGGTGTAACTCCATTATTATCTTGAATATTTACATCCGCGTTGTGTTCAAGGAACAATCTACAGAGGTTTTCGTTACCCTCTCTGGCACACCAGAGCAAGATTGTAGATCCATCATTATGTTGAATATTTACTTCTGCGTTCTGTTCAAGTAACAGTCTACTGAGGTTTTCGTTCCCCTCAAAGGCAAACCAGTGCAAGGGTGTATATCCTTCATTATCTTGAATATTTACAGTCGCGTTGTGTTCAAGTAACAATCTACAGATGTTTTCGTTTCCTTTTAAGGCACACCGGTGCAAGGGTGTGTATCCATCTTTATCTTGAATGTTTACATCCGCATTGTGGTCAAGTAACAATCTACAGAGGTTTTCGTTATCCTCTAGGGCACAATCGTGCAAGGGTGTATATCCCCATCTATCTTGAACATTTACATCCGCGTTATGTTCAAGTAGCAATCTACGGAGATTTTCGCTCCCCTCAAAGGCACACCAGTACAAGGGTGTATATCCATCTTTATCTTGAATATTTACATTTGTGTTCTGTTTAAGTAACAATCCGGCGATGTGTTCATTACCTGCATTGACAGAAGCGTGCAGTGGCGTAAATCCATTACTAAATTTGACATTAACATCAGCTCCATGCCTTACAATTAAGCAAGCTGCCATGTAGTTGTTCCAATCAGCTGCTAACATTAGTGGTGTTTCTTTGCTTACTCTCCTTTGGGCATTAACGTCGGCCCCAAGATCAATGAGGGTCTCAATGAACTGACTTGAGGATGAACGACTCGCCCTCAGCAAAGCTGTCCAATCATTGTCTGATCCTGAGGCATTAATATCTACACCGTCATTCAATACAAGTTCAACTGCTTGTTCCGCATCATCATTGCATGTACCCCACTGCGACTCAGTTAGTCTGCTGTTGTTCTCAGCCAATGTTTTATAAAGTCTTTCGATACTATAATGATCTGATTTTGTTCCCTTCACAAATGATAGGATGTCAATTGCACTTTTATCTGGAAATCCTTTGGCGTTAATTCCAGTTTTTGTATATTCCATCTGTTCTAAAAAGTTCTCAAGAAGGCCATTAGCTTTTAAAACAATGTCGTATTTTCCCTCTAAGACAGCCGCCTGGAGCATATTAAATCCAGATTTTTCATCCACTTGCAAGAAAGCTGTTCTTGAGATTTTTTTCAGACTGACCTGTAAGGAGATAATTATTTACAGTATTGTTACATCGAATTATAGATCCACATAATAGATCAACGGGGTTACACTAATCGGCCTCGGCGGATAACACCCTCCTCGATCTCCATAATCCTTCTGATGACACTCAGCCTCATAACTGTTAATTACTATTCATTCAGAATAAATCTCCATTTCCGATTGGTTCAAATCCCCCAGCTAATCAGCCAGCGTTGACCAAATTTGGAAAACGCTTGGGGTTCCTGTACCAACGACTTCAATAGCACAGGATACTGTCAGAAAAAAGCATTATTAAAGCGCTTTTTTTGTATAAGTAGCAGCACCATAACAATAGACATTTATCATCCAAATAAATTCGGTAAGCGTCAATAATTACTCAGAACTGAATTGTACAGTTGAACCTAACGGCCAGTAATCAAAGTCTTGAAATAATTGTAGAAAAGTGACCGCGGCCACCATTTTGCCACCTCGACGAGAGTTGTCCTATCGTTGTCACCTCTAGCGCCAGGGCTTCTGCTAGCGCTTGATACTTGATAGTTTGGCTTCACAATTTAAAAAAAAAAATTGATGAAGGATGATACAGTCCGAGATATCATGTGATAAGTGATTGTGGGCCAGTAATGCCGCTTCAATCGCGTGTAAATAAAGTGATGTTTCTGCTAAAGAGTATGCTAACGTGTCACGAACCTCTGTTGAGAGGCCAACCTTCATTTAGAGGCCACTTCCGAGTACCCCGCGGGTGGCCCCTTAATGGAGGTTCAACAGTACAATGATGTCCAGACGGACGCAACCGACTTTATAAACTTAATGTTAGTGCAGACAAGAAGAAATGTAAGGTATCTGAAAAAGCAGCGAGGAAAAATGTCATCCGATTACGTATAGGTCCTACTGTAACATAATCCGTAGAGGGACCTTCGTCTGATAGAAAGTTCGATCGGTAAGAAGGACCTAAGTAAGACACAGTCTGATATCTTACTGGTTGATGAAGACTTGGCTTGGCATCATTTTTCAACAGCAACTGCACTATAGAGTGGTGTTCTTGTCGTTCAGCTTTTTGCAGAGGTGTACGTTGAAACTACAAAAAAAAATTGAAGCAGAACAAGTACGTGTTACCTACCACTTGCTAATTACCAAATTAGATTCTTAGTAAATAATACTAGGCAAACAAAAACTTTCCTTTGCCATACCTTCCTCATGGCAATAAATAATTGTTTTAAGTTAAACGAAATCCCTAAGTCACCTTGTCTTCAGCGTTGACGTTTGCACCATGTTTCAACAACAGATCGACAACAGTTTTCTGTCCGTACCAACAGGCAAGATGTAGAGGAGTCAAAGAAAACTACCAAAAAAGTACAACGTAGTTAGATAAGGTTTAAAGAGCCGGGAAGAAAAAGGTCTTACAAGTACAAACAAAATCTAAAACTCTACAACTTCTTGAAAGTGGTGAAGATGTGGATCAAAGGGATCAGGTTTTAGTCATCTTCATGTAACTTTATTGTTTAGCCGGAGCTCTAGCCTTCGCTTCGTTCATGGATTCTCGAATTCTTTTCTGGTTTTGGCTGTGTCCACTGATAGCAGCCTTGTGTAGAGGCCCTCTTGACGCCTGTTTCAAAAACAGATCCTTTAATCATTGAGTGAATCCTTCACTCTACTTGCCTAAAACCGGGTTGTCTGTTACGTCATAACAGGCAACCCTCTCTTCTGAGCCTATTAATCGCGGCCATAGGCGTACGGGCCGGGAGGTCGAGGGGGGCTGCAGCACCCTCAAATTTTGAGCAACTAAGATTTTTTGGGCAGCAAGAGAAAATTTGGGCAAAGCCAGTTTTTAAAGACGTCTCCATGTTTATTTAATTATTTTGAAGACCTGAATATTAACCTGAAGTCGGCGTAATAATCCAGTTACATTCACACGAGACAGTGGTTGCCTAGCATGTGATGAGTAATTTACATATTTATAGTTTTTAATTGTTGGGCACTGTCTTATGGCTCTTGGCACTGTTCTGCACTGCACTAGCTGGAATGGGCTATTTTCAGTCGTAAATTGATTAGAATACTCGAAGAACAGTGTATGGCAGATAGCATTAGCAGTGGGTCTGAAAATGAAGAAAAGGCTGACTAAGTTCTCAGTTTGAATTACGAGAAGAATCCTAATTTCATTTAAAAAAGGTTTAAAATTATTCACTAATTTGTTAAAGTAGACCGAAATGTTTACAAAACCGCTAACAAGAGCGCCTCAATACATACTAATCAAATCCTTCTTTCTAGCAATCGGGTAGAGCTATCTTCACGATCTTTCACACAAGTTTTTAAAAAGTTTTAAAAACTGCATATCAAATACGCTTTGTTTTCGACAGATAACAGCCAAACATCAAGATTTTCCTTTTCTTACCGTATTTCTAACGATAAAACTTCATCCCAAAATATCTCGATAACGCTCTTACAGATTTTGCTTAAACTTCACGAAAATCGAGGCGTCCGTATTGGAGAAAAAAGCTCCTGTGAACGATTTTGTAAGGTTCCCAGTACCGAGAATTATTACTGAAGTAAAATAGGTAACGGCGTCATTACGTTGCTATGACAACCCCGATGTCATTACAACCCTGATCATGACAGATTAGGAATAGTTTATTAAAACTCTCTTGCAGTAAAAAGAGCTGAATTGTCGAGTACATTTTACAATCATAAGGCAACTATTATCTAGAGTATAGTAATTTACAGTTATAACAATGAAAATAAGAATTGAATCACTTAAAAAATTTAAATGTAAAGAAGTCCTCCACTCTCTTTGTCCTACAGATCTGTATGTTCTGGAAAAGATAATACTTTTGTGTTTTCTGCCTTAAGGTGTAGTTAGGCGCGTCCAGAAGTGGGCTGGGAAGTAGGTGGTGCAGAGGGTGGCTGGGGGACTTCATTTTCGCCATATATTTGTAGCACTAGAGTACTCTTCTATCATCTAACCTATCTAGTTTACCTAACTGTAAGGCATATGACTCTGCCTCGAGGTAGATTATGTTAAGCGCCCTTTTTTGCACTCGCTCTATGGCTTCGGACAGATAAGCAGGGATGCTCTGCCAGACTGGTACAGCATACTCTAAAACTGGCCGGACTGTGCTAAGGTATATCCTCAAGATGTTGGGTTGGCTCACCCTGGCTCTACGAAGAATTCTAAGGGAGTATAACTTCTTACAAGCTTTCTTAATAATGTAATCAACATGACAGTTCCACTTCAGGTCATTGTCCATAGTAACTCCTAAGATCTTATAGGTATTGGCACGCTTGATGACATTGCCGCCAATTATTATCGGGTTAATGAGCTAATTAGAGTTGCGTAGGACATTAATATGCATTTCTTTACACTTGGTTGGATTAAGTCTCATATTATGAGCAATGGCAAAATTGTGAATGTATGAGACCACTACATTAAGTAAGCTAGGGGAGTTCCTTGAAAATATTTCGAGAGCACTGGTATCATCAACGTATTTGATGCGCAGCCGCCAGTCAGACAGCAGTTTGTTTGTCATCACCGTAAAGAGGATCACACCCAGTTTAGTTCCTTGGGGCACTCCTCCTTTTAGTGTTAACTAATCTGACAGAGTTCTTCCGATTCTAACTGCCTGCTTCCAGGATGTCAAGAATGCCGCAATCCAAGATAAAAGGACTGGATGAACTTCAAGATCTGCCAGTTCTTGCATTAATATTGAATGATCAATTAAATCAAACCCCTTAGAAACATCTGCGAAGAAAATCCGAGCCGACGCCTCACCACTATCAAGATTTTCCGTCTTAATACAACCGCGGTGGCAATTTTTCCAAATGTGTGTTTATGGCGACGTAGTTTATGCTCAAACTTGGTATTGACCCTGAAAAAAATGTATCGAGCCACCTTCTTATGCCAGTACGGCCTATGTTGTTGCAATATGGCCCTCGTTTCTTTTCGACTCTTTCGTAAAAATTTGAGCAACTTGCGAGATTTTTTTGGGCAAATGGTTTACCGCCCCCCACCCCGGCGAAAGATTTCCCGTACGCCTATGATCGCGGCTTTTCCAAGGATTTCACCATTCCGCTAACTATACTATTTGTATCTATATTGATACATGAGATAATCACCAAATCCTAAGCAGAAGTCAGCCAGCCAGGGCGTTCTACTGTAAAAGGGCTCGCCACTGTATAGTGGGAAATAACAACGCTGCAACTCACAATAACTCTACACTTGCCACAAGTCGACTGCGTGGGCGCCGACGGCACAAGGGACGCGCGTGAAGCAAGCGAATGCGATTCCCTAATGACACCTAAGCACAGAAACTGGGAAGGGGCTTTGTGAAAGTCTTAATAAGGGGCCGTTCATTTGACTTTTGAGGGGGCGGGGGGAGGGGGGGGATTCGTGATTTAATTTGCGTAAGAATTTTTTTCCCAAACAACTGGTGGTAAAACTTTTTCCCCTGACATACAAAGCCATTGTATGGCAGGCGTTTCTATGCAAGATTTTTTTCGCTCGAAATCAGTTTTCTACTTACTTCTACTTAAGAAACTGATAAAGCAGAAGTCTGCATCACAGCAGTTTACTTAAGCAATAGATCACACTTTCTATGGGTTTACCGGCGTGATAACCCATGCGGGATGTTGGGAGAAAACGAGAAAAGCTTCTAAATCACGAGATGAAGGCAAGTGTTTTACAAGCTTTTCGCGTAGTATCTTAGTTATTTCATAAAAATTGATAACATTGTCTGATAAAAAAAATCATAAAAAACATTGTAAAGTTTAAAAGTTTCTATCTAATAAAATAAATACTTAAGTAGAATAAAATTTACAAATTAAAAATTAAAATCACTCTCCTTGCTTAATAAGATGGTTACGGACTGTGGACTTAAAAATGTCATCGTCATCAATGTTTACAATATTACCGGGTAACTTGTTCCAGTGTTTAATACACCATGGGAAGAAGCTATTTGCATGCGGAGTACAACTGGAGCGAGGTCTCAGAAATAACATAGAATTGCCATCTCTTAAGGTATGGGAAAAAGGAGTTAGATACAAATCTCTCTCAAATCACTGGTTTATTGTCCCTTTTGCAGTCAGAAGACTGAATTGTAGGATACCTTACAAGCAGTGATATATATATACTAATACGCTACTTATTGACAAGATTGATATTTAACACTAACAAAATTTGAGAAACGTTCAGCCCTTGTGGCCATGGGCCTGCTAGGACTCCCTGATCTTAGACACTGACTGGTAGGTATAAGTACCACTCTGTTGTGTATTAGAGGGTATAATGGGTTACCTGATCGAACCTTACCTATAAATTTAATACACGAGACTGCCCGACGGTCAGAAAGAGTGGATAATGCAGCTTTGTCAAGTGCTGCGTCTTACGAAATACCAAGCCAAATGATGGATAGGGCCCTTTTTACACGTTCTCAAGATAGCAAGCAAGATACTTAGGCAAGTCAGCAAAGGTAGCAGAGGCGTACTCTAGTACAGAGCGAAGAATTAGCACGCAGTAGGTATGAGCAATATCAGCGATATTGTGAAATCCACAATGTCAATGTCAACATTTCTGTTGACAACACGATGGAACATAGTCAATCGAGAGAACTTCCGTCTACCCTCAAGGGAGGGCCATTCTAGTTTCTCCAGCATGTTGGTTACAACATCTGCTTTCTTGAGTAATTACTAAATCAGCATGTAGCAGCAGAACGTTGAACAATGTCTAGCTGATACTTATATTTCTGAAGATAGGGATACCATGCAGAACTAGCATATTCTAGTTTAGGTCTTAATTACTAGGCTACAATATGGTTTAGATTTACATCGTATGAAGGTGTGTCTAAAATTCCTCCTAATAACACCAAGAGTCTACTTAGCACTTGAGGACATTTGCCCAACATGATTTACCCATTTCAAGTCCTGTGAGAGTATGATGCCTAGAAATGAATGGTGGTAGTCCCTATTCAATATATAACTATTAAGAATGTATGGTGTAACAATATTCTTCAGTTTTATAGAGAAGGAGATTGCATGGCATTTTTGCTATGTTAAATGACATTTGCCAGTCTGCAGAATCTTTTTTTCCGAAATCACCCATACCCATCCTAAAAAGTCAAATGGTCGGCCCCTAAACTCCTGTCTACTAAGTTACCAACTTGGCATTTTCAAACCCTCTGTTAAGTGAAATGCACAATATCTCACAGAACTTACTAAAGCCAGTTCCAGGCTCTCAGATAGTAAGGATGACGCGTACAATTGAAAGGTACGCGAAAATAGTTATGACACTTACTTTTGCCTTCTCAGTTCTCTCCATGGGGGTAAGGACCAGTTTCTTGTCCTAGGATGGTAAACATACATTTAAAAACAGATCTGCAATATTTCAAAAGCCTAAAGTTATTTAAGAGGAACTTCTAAATGCAAAATACGACTGGTAGGATCTTCGTGTATTCACACACCTTACATACGACTGATCATACAAAAAATCACTCAGCTAATTTGAACGTTTTTTTGGGAAGATGCAGCGAAAGGAAAGTTCATTTCATATGAAAAGGGGGGCTATGAAGATACAGAATCATTTACCTGAAATGATTTAAGGCCCCCCTCCTCTGTCATTAAATTTTTAAAGCCCCCCTCATCAATGAGGCTGAAATTTCATAGCCCACCTCTCCCTTACACTCTTTGTAGGTTAATATTTGCCCTAATAACATGGTGGCCACCTAAATAATTGACTCCCAGACAATCACATTATTAACTGAACCAACTAAAAAGCACTTTTTTCCCATCCAAGATCAATATCCCAATAATCAATAGAGATACAGATCCTGAAACCATGAAGAGAATCTGGCAGCCCTTGTGCCAGATCCAGTAATCATCCATAAGATATCAACTAAAGAGAAGACCAAAGCGTTAGTTGTTAAGCTTAGCGAGGAAACAGCAGGCTCGGTATATACTTCATGGTAGAAAGCCACAAGTGCACCGGTAATATACACTCTGTGTAATATGTAGTATTGTGTCTTCTCCCTAATAGCTAGTGGTAGTTGAGTAGTTATCGGTAGTTACTAGTATTTACTGGTAGTTACTAGTAGTTGCTGGTGGTTACTAGTAGTTGTCGGTAGTTACTAGTAGTTACTTGCAGTTATCGGTAGTTACTAGTAGTTACTGGTAGTTATTGGTAGTTACTAGTAATTATCGGTAGTTACTAGTATTTACTGTTAGTTACTAGTAGTTGCTGGTGGTTACTAGTAGTTGTCGGTAGTTACTAGTAGTTACTTGTAGTTATCGGCAGTTACTAGTAGTTACTGGTAGTTACTAGTAGTTGTCGGTAGTTACTAGTAGTTACTAGTATTTACTTGTAGTTACTAGTAGTTGTCGGTAGTAACTGGCAGTTGCTAGTAGTTATCAGTAGTTACTGGTAGTTACTAGTAGTTTTCCGTAGTTAATAGTAGTTACTAGTAGTTGGTGGTAGTTACTAGTAGTTGCTGGTAGTTACCAGTAGTTACCAGTAGTTGTCGGTAGTTACTGGTAGTTGCTAGTAGTTATTGGTATTTACTAGTAGTTACTGGTAGTTACTGGTAGTTGCTGGTAGTTACTAGTAGTTCGTGGTAGTTACTGGTAGTTCCCCTTACTTACTGGTAGTTACTAGTAGTTGTCGGTAATTACTGGTAGTTACTAGTAGTGGTCGGCAGTTACTTGTAGATATTGGTAGCTACCAGTAGTTACTGGTAGTTACTAGTAGTTGTCGGTAGTTAATGGTAATTACTAGTAGTTGTTGATAGTTACCAGTAGTTGTCGGTAGTTACTAGCATTTACTTGTAGTTATTGGTGGTTACTAGTAGTTACCTGTAGTTATTGGTAGTTGCTAGTAGTTGTCGGTAGTTGCTAGTAGTTACTTGTAGTTATTGGTAGTTTCCAGTAGTGGTCGGTAGTTACTGGTATTTACTAGTAGTTATCAGTATATATACTAGTAGTTGTCGGTAGTTACTGGTAGTTGCTAGTAGTTACTAATAGTTGGTGGTAGTTACTAGTAGTTGTCGGCAGTTACTATTAGTTAGTGGTAGTTAATAGTAGTTGTCGGTAAATACAGATACTTACTGGTAGTTGTCAGTAGTTACTAGTAGTTGTCGGTAGTTACTGGTAGTTACTTGTAGTTATTGGTAGTTACCAGTAGTTACTAGTAGTTGTCGATAGTTAATGTTAATTTCTAGTAGTTATCGGTAGTTACTAGCAGTTATTAGTAGTTGTCGGTAGTTACTGGTAGTTGCAAGTAGTTGTCGGCAGGTACTAGTAGTTACTGGTAGTTGTTGGTAGTTACTTAACAATTAATGAATGAGGCTGAGTATCTTATGAAGAATTATGGAGATCGAGGAGGGTGTTATCCGTCGAGGCGGTGGCCGAGGCGGATAATACCCTCCGAGATCTCCATAATTCTTCATATGATACGAAAGCCGAATTCCATAATTGTTTTATTATTCATTCAAAATAATTCCTAGTTTAAAAACATAGCTAAGACAAGCTTACCTGCATCGATGTTAAGTTTATCTTCGATAGTCTACGTTTAGGTTTGTCCAACTCCGCAAATATGCTCCAAATAGCAGATGTCGCCTTCAGAGTTGTCTTCGTGCTGTTTTTGCTATGTTTTTAGCCATTATTTCGCCTAGTTCCAGCTGCAGTTCTTACTCTTGAAACGAGTGAAGTGTCCGCCATTTTAGTTTTTACAACGAAAACAACTCAATCTCGTCCCCAGGTCTTCTCGGTTAACGGTGTATTAACCTGTAGAAGGCTGCATTTTTGACGTAATTTCCTCGTTAAATAACAAAATTCTTCCAAATTTGGTCATCAGTAACTGGTTATGGTGAATTATGCGTGTGCTTTTAGCCAATCAGAATTCTCCAAATAGCAGATGTCGCCTCTCTCGGAGAGTGTTATCCGCCTCGGTCTACGGCCTCGACGCATAACGCCCTCCTCGATCTCCATAATTCTTCATAAGATACTCAGCCTCATTCATTCTACTTATCAAGCAAGGGGTACCGCAAGGAAGTGTCTTAGGCCCCGCACTGTTTTTGTTATTTGTGAATGACATTCCATTACATCTAACAAATTCAATTGTGGACATTTACGCTGACGACACTACAATAACCGCAAGTGCGCATTTCTTGGATCTATGCTCGATGACCCAACGTTTAAATTCCGATCTTGATGCGGTTCAGAGATGGGCGTCTTGCAACAAAATGTTCATCAACAAGAAAAAAGTCCCTTCTAGTGCACGGAAAGCGCATTCCTGCTAAGCTGGATGAAGACACACCCTTACACTTAGTTGTCAAGATTGATTACTCTGTTATTGAACAAGTCTCTTCTCATAAGATTTTAGGAGTAGTTATAGATAGTCAAATGAACTACGAATCATACATTGATGAATT